CATCGAATCAGGTGGGTCTTCTCCATTTCCTCCTGTAGGTTACATAGAGGGCATGTGGGTTGAGTGTATACTCCCAATCTGTGAAGGTGTTTTGCCAAGCAACCGTGTCCTGTACGTAGTCTAAACTCAGCAACGGCCTCGATTCTTGGCCAGTCGGGTATTTCGGAGAGTGCCACTGTCCACTGTTTCTCCTTTGTTCGAGCTTTAATTTCGTTGCACCTTGAGGTATGGAATTCTCTCCTGATTAAGGCCTTCATTGTGTAAAAAGACATCGGGCGGTCCATGCATTGCAAAATCGTTGTCCCCTTCTTAGCGTCTTGCCAATTATTATTTGTCCATATCTCTTAGCAGTCAAGGAGGTAACAATTGTACCCGAAGCCATATTGAAAATTGCTTAGCTATTTATTTTCAGAGACCATATATATATATATATATATATATATATATATGTCCGTGTTGAAACTGATTCAAATGAACTGAATATAAATAATAAATAAAGATAAAATTTGGTATAGCGGCTCAACCGTATGAGATTATTCTAATATGTATTTGCCGCGAAATAGATAAATCGTCAGCGTAAGTTTGTCTTGACAGGCAAACAGACTGTCTTCTCTCAAGAGGGAAGTTGCCTCGTGTGTGTGGGTGGATAATTACCACTCATTTCACATTCCCTTTTTTGATTACCTGAAATCAAACTAACATTTCCAGTAATAGGGGAAGTAGGAATGATCGAGAAGGAGTGGCGTTTATCCATGATATTAACATTGTTCGAATCTTCGGAATGTTCGCGTTTATTTATTTATATAAAATACCAGGGTTTGTGATAGTTATCATCAACCCCTTAGTTGACTTCGGGCTTCCCAGAGGGGAGAAACATAAAAGAGAGAAAAATTCGAGAGGGAGGAACAGAAAAGTGATTCACAGCTGTGAAAGAGACAGACAGACACGAAGGCAGAGAAAAAGGTAAGGTGAGGTGAGTACTGTTGAAGTGGTGGAATATGGCATACAACGGGGTCATGGAAGTTTGAAGTCAGAAGCCAATTGACTTACCTCCACGTGGTGCAACCTGGGCAACGTATACTCATACGGCACAAAAGTCTATAAACCGGCACTTGTCTTCAAACTATCGGCAAAAAAATTCTATTAACCGGCAGTTGACTTCTGACTTCAACGCAAAAAGGTCTATTAACTGGCAGTTGACTTCTCACTTCACAAAAAAGTCTATTAACCGGCAGTTGACTTCTGACTACTCAAACGGCAAAAAAGTCTATAAACCGGCAGTTGACTTCTGACTGAAAAGGTCTATTAACTGGCAGTTGACTTCTGACTTCAAATAAAAGTCTATCAATCGGCAGTTGACTTCTCACTTCAAACCAAAAGTCTATAAACCGGCACTTGTCTTCAAACTATCATGAACCGGATGTATTTCACATTCTACTTCTTCCACAGTACTCACCTTAACTTTTCTCTACCGTTTACATCTGTGAATTACTCTTCTGTTCCACCTCTCGATATTTTGTGACTCGGATATTCCTCCTCTCTGTGAAGCTCAAAGTCAACAGAAAGGCTAATGGTAGCTATCATAAAGCCTGACATTTGATATAAATATGTGGCAATACGATATGAATATGATTTCTAAGACGAACAGCGAAAATTAATTTATTTATACTGTTAATTTTATTTAAAGTACAGACTACCGATGACAAGGTATGTCCCACCTGAGGCCATATGAAGGGTGGTAAAGTGAGCAAAAATCTCTTTATTCCCATTGAATTGTTTTATAAAGGTCGATTTAACTTTTTTAAAAATACTCCATTCGATAGTGTTAAATGGTAAGCGTTTGAGGTGTAAACATAACTAAACTTCAAATATCTTTATTTGTTAACTACTTCCTCTTTCGGTAACATTAGCATTTATAATTTTGATAAATGAATTGACTTTAAGTAAGTTCTAAATTAGAAGAATTACGATGATTTGTAAAAGAGGCTAGATTAGAAGAGGAACTAAGATGAAATTAATTTTTCAGATCAAGAAAAAAGCAAATAAAACTAGACTGCCTATTTTTTAAAAAAAGGCATTTTTCGCCACTGTCTGCCTTTTATGTGTGGCCATGTTCGTGTGCGCTCGGTGCAGACACTTTGCTAACAATTTCTCGCCCCTTCATGTCTTGCAATTATTGTTTCGTTTCCTCAACTCTCCGCTTTGGCATTTCTAGTTCCTTCCCAGACCTTAGTTTTCCTAAAGAAGGAGATTTTTTGTCAGGTTGATGAGTGAGGATCTTTGGAGGTATTTTGCTATAACAATAAGTAAGCAAATAGGGTATTTATAGTGATATATGCTCTTTGGGTTGAAGGAAGATATTTCAAAGTCCCTTAATCATATGTTGTCACTATTCTATCTATCAATATTAGAAAATGTCACCGGAACTGTTGTACAGTGTAATTTGAGAAGAATGAGGGGTGGGGGAGGATGTCCTATTGTGGATCACATGCTTTATTGATCATTCGAATTTTGTTGGCTTTTGCGTATTTCATCCTGTATTAATCAACTTTTGGTTCTTGTCTGATCACATGATGTACTAAAGTGCAGACGTTTTTTCTAACGGTTCGATCAATCCAGTTTTCTCCTTTGGCTGGCGTAAATAATGGAATTTTGATGACATTAGTAAATATAATTGCTATTTACCCAATTAATTATTTCTGTATCTATCTAAATGAGTTCAACGTTCCAGCAATGTCATTTTCAAACATTGTTGCAAATTACTAAATATAGATGGTGTTTTCACTTATTTTTCTATTACGCCAATGAGCCAATAAAAGAATATTTGAGAAATATAGCTATTTTTCACTGAACTCTTAAATATGCACTTTACTAATCGGATTAAGACAAGTTAAACAGTAATCGACACAACGGTCTATTTCACCAAGAACAGAGTTTTCATAATTCGAAAAATTGGAAATTTAGATTAAAAATTATTAAAAATTGATGTATTACTCTGAATTTCTCTTTCTTGGGTGCATTAAATTAGGTATACATAAATGTACGTCATAAAGAATTGCAACAATATGTAGGCAATTAAATCAATACTAAGATACCTTCAAATCTTTGGAAATATAGTATATATATATATATATATATATATATTAATCATAGATTTTTATTTGCAAAATAATATAATTCAATCGCAACAAAAATCAATAACTTTGACACTCAGAATTCACTTGCACCAAAAAAGAGAAATTAGAACTCTCTTTAATAAAGCTTATCGATTTCTGACTATGATGTGCTATTATACCTGTTCAATTTAAATTAAAGAAAAAATCAGTATTCTTATCACTCTTTAAGGTTTTAAAGAAAATGAAGCATTATAATAAAGGCCAAAATATTGAAGTTTAAATAATGACATACTTTCTTTCAATGCCATATTGATCTGATACATACAAAGCTATTATCAATGATAAAAGCTATATTCTTGACATTTTGCATCTGGTTTCAAAAGAATCCATGTTATAATTATTTCTAGCACTCGTTTTAAATGTATCAATTCGTGGCGCGCCCATCAAATACGGTCTATCGCATTGTCCAACTGTGTTGTTTCTTTTTTAAAGACAGATTTTTTCCAAATGAATGGAAGGATATTTGTTCCTGCTCCAGCATTCATGATGCAAAGAGATCCTAACCAATCAAGTATATTTGTCCATAACCAACCAACGAAAAAAGTAACCACAGTCCTTACAAATCTTCAACGTCGTAATGTACAAACGCTTAAAGTAGACACCCCCGCCTCTCTAAATATCTTCCAAATGGCCGCTCAGGGTGAAATTCTCCTTCTTGAGATTGAACTGAATAAATGTCAGTCTAACATTGACGTACGCGACAAGAAGGTATGGATTTATTTTTACAATATATACATCAATCTTGACAGGGTTTTACTCCACTTCTATGGGCAAGTGCGAATGGTCAGAAAACGATTGTAGAATTACTTCTTTGGCGCGGTGCCGATGCGTTTGCACGAGGAATAAATGGAGAAACAGCCCTTTTATTAGCTGCAGCTAGGGGACATCACGAAGTGGTACACTACTTGCTTCGCGCTGGCTATGATGTCAATGAAAGCGACGAATTGGGCAACACGGCGCTCATGTTTGCCACATTTAACAACCACATAGCCATGGTGACGCTACTTCTTGATTGGGGAGCTGATATAACAGCTCAGAATGCTGACGGTTGGGATGCCTTACAGATTGCTAGGCGACGTAGAGCTAAAGCAAGCAAATTGGCCATCGAGCGGTATATTATAAGTCTTTTATCAGGAGACAAGCACAAGCCACGACCAATGTTATATTGATTCCTGGATTTAGTTGTGATCAACTCGTTTGTACATATTTTATCGTCACTTTCTACCTCCTCTCGGATATCACTTAACATTGTGCCTTTTTTACTGCCTTAGGTTTAAAAATAATAAAATCTTATGCCTTTTATTTCATTTTCTCGGTTCTGCACAATCTCCGAAATCACGGCACTTAACAAGGACGGATGATGGCGTCTTAGTGTTTACTGCACATCTTCGATCAGGCACTGGATTGGTACTCATGACGCAGTTACAGATAAGATAAGTTACAGTTTAAGATAAGGGTTAGGAAAAAAAGTACCTCGAACGGGGTTAGGATTAGGCACAAGGCACATAAAGAAAGCATGGGTTGGCCTTAAGCATAAGTAAATTTGCTCACATTTGGCTTGTTCAGGATGGATTGATAATGTCCAACTGACTGCTGCAACTAACTGCACTTCAATGTGCGGGTTAGCAGCTCATCTATTAGGTTGTATTGGCTCAAATATTTCCCTTCATGAGTTTCTTCTATCTCCTTACGTGAATCTCTGCTTTAATTATACCTGTTCTCTAATAAAGCCTGAAAACTGGTGTATTGGAGATGGCTGAACCCTCATTTCCAGATAGGAGGACGATGTGATGCCATTAAATCACAAGCAATTCAAACGTCACATATGAAAAAGATGCCGATTAGGATCATGAGACCATTTATTACAACTTTAAAAGCAGAAGCATAAAGATTCTGGAGCCCAAATGAAGTAAGATTCGCCTGGTTTCGTGGGCCTTCACTGGAGTGTCACTATTCTCCCTTTCTAACTCCGATTCGTGTTTGTGCTTTTTATCAAGCGTGCTACATGCTTCATCGGAGACAATGATGAAACCAGTAAAAGCTCCTGTTCCAATTTCTTCTAATTGAACTCGATAAATTGACACAGTTGGACCAATCACACAGTTTAACAATTCGATCGATAAGGCCTAGATAACTATAGAACCTAGAATAAAATTCTTAACATCGAAAACTGAGATGCTAGATGTTGAAGTCCATTGTGACTAGAAAATGTACAACCTGAGTACAGAAACCAAAGGAAGTAGGACGTCTTGAACTCAGCAACTCCAACTCAACTTCACTTTGAAGGTATTGTGTCCCAAAACCACAATTGAAGCATGCTTTCAACCACTATCTTTCTTCAAAATAACGAATAGAGAGGAGATTTGACGAAGCCTAACCAAATGACGCAGAGTATGCTTTGAATGGCATAGCAAGCTAATCAGGTATAGATCTCTCAATTAGATTGCTAAAAAGCCCACCTGAGGAACAAACCAGGGCTATCTCGTTTCTACGAAGTGAGATGACATTCCAACACAATCGACTAGAGAGTGAAGAGTAAGTTGATGCTAGTAAGTTGTAAATGCTAGCTCTTAAATCAACTAAGCACTAGGAAAATCGGAGAGACATAAACTACCAAAAAACGCACAACTTAGTCTCCAGAAGGACGCCTTCTTCCAAAATTAAAGATATTGGTGAAAATTTGACCAGAAATACTTCAAAACCACTCGAAAACAAGACATCGTAAATTCTTCTCACACTTAGCGTATACTTAATGCTAACTTTAACCAATTTTAAGTAGTAAAAAATTTAGTAATAATTTGACTTCCGTCAAATGATTGCAAGTAAATTTTCAATCAACACACGCATCAAAATAAGTATGTATGACTGATGGAATACTCAACTGCCCTATTTAACTCTAATCAAAAGAAAGACCATGAACGTTGGCATTCCAGCTAATTAGTGTTATGAAACAGTCCCTACTCAACGGAATAATGGAATAGATTAATGAAATAGAACGTGTAGAATAACTCCAAGACCGCCACAATGTTAGAAGTTAAACGAGGCATAAAGTAATATGTCAGTACATGGATCAAAATCTAAAAGCACAAAAAATGAACCCGGTTGCTCGAAGGCGATAAAATTAAAAAGCCATCGCGAAAGTAGCTTAGACAAAATATTGCAAAAAAGGGAATTACAAGAAGGCAGAAGGCGAGACAGAGAAGGCAAAAGTACAAAATACTACTGTGCTCCCCATTCAAATCCCCCAGGTCTTTCTTCAGGTAAGGGTTGATAAGCAGGATCTGTATTTCTTCGATCAAGCAAATTTCGACTAGGCAAAATAAATGGACAATAAAAAACAGATCTGGACTTACAGAAATTCTGGCGTGCGAAGAATTCGAAAGCCATTAGGTTGATTTGGAAAGACATCTTCTAACACATAGTATAAGTGTCCAATAACGATACCTAGCAATGAAGTAGTTAAAATCATACCGCAAATCAATAACGTGGTAGCAAAATTTATATGAGAACTTACCAACAAAATCCATGGTTGCATTGTTACCAAGGATGTAGGAAATAGCGAAGAAAACCCAAGGCAAATAAGGAGCATGCACAGTTATGAGACCAAGAATATTCAACATAACGGAGGGATTATTTCGACTCCAAACATAAACTAGCATAGTGGTTAAGACGTGGCTCAAGAAAATCATATGCAATAAAAGAGCCGCAATCTAAATTAATAATGAAAATAACAAAAAATAAATAACACACAATTGATAGTACACCGCCGAATAAGAACATAACAAGAAAATCAGCCGATCTCCCGTAGAACTGATTTTCCTCTAGCATTCGACAATACCGATAGACAAAAATCATATTAAAGAGAAAGTTAAAATCAATCGTGCCAAAATAACAAAAGCACGTCACTAGCCGCCATATCTAGAAATAAAATTTACAAATTAGAATGAAATAATCTCACTTGAAAGTCATGGAAAATGAGATGGGGATTGAAGTAAATCTGAAGTGGTGACAGTATATGAAGGTGCTAAAAGAATTAATTTAACTATTTACTTACAACACAGACTGTAAGAGTAAGGCACAAAAAGGTATAACATTTTGTTATTGGAGGGACACTTCCAACTTCGTGTCTAAACTCGTCCATAATTTAATTTAAGCGCTGTACTTGATGGCGCACTTAAGGTGTCATATCATAGTTTAATACTTTAAATGTGGATAGTAAACAATCCCCTTTTATGAAACTAATACTACATTAGTTGGATAGTTTGTCATAAGTTTTGCCTAATCTAAATAGAAAATTAAAAGGGAAGCTTCATCTGAGAAACGGGTTCTCAAATTATTTAACGAGAAGATGCAGTTCGGAAAAGAAACATAAATCCAGTATTATTTGACACATGTATCACCTATTATTATTTCTGCTAAATATAATAATTATAATAATATGCAACATCCCAATTCCAATGAATAACCATTCAGTAAGAGAACGCGACAGATATTAATCCAATAAAGTAGTGAGAATCATTATAAGTTTATTATCCTATTCCTGTGTATTACTGAATATCGCATCCATTATTATTGATTAATTAATCTCCATATTTATAACGGCGAGAATTCAACCTTGACTGTACCTTTTGAGGCGAGATTCGCCAATATTTCAGCCAAACATTTTGAACCCGTATGATTATATTTTACATTTCCTTTTCGTTTTTTTTCATTAGCTTAAAATAGGTATATGTTGTAATTTTATACTTGAATTAGCACTTATTTCTTTGTTATATTTATGGATACAAGTTTTTTCTTCCCTTAGCTACATTAATTTTTCAAAATCTCGTACAGTCTTTTCATATTATTAATTTTCTTATGTAATCGTATAATTTGGCTCCTATTTTAATAGAATGGAGCTTCAGGACATTCTGTATGAGGGTTCACAATATGTCGAGACCGCTAGTGGGAATAGAGTAAGTCGAGACGCTGTAATTTGTGGTAGTCAAAATATCGTCCTCAATGGTAAAGCGATCATCATGTCTAACTGCATAATTCGTGGAGATCTTGCTAATATTCGTATCGGTCGTCGATGTGTCATCAGCGAAGGGGCCGTAATTCGTCCTCCATTCAAGAAATTCTCTAAAGGTGTTGCATTTTTCCCTCTCCAAATTGGTGATCACGTATTTGTTGGTGAAGGAGCGGTCGTTAATGCTGCTCAGATCGGTGCTTACGTTCATATTGGAAGAAACTGCGTAGTCGGTCGCCGGTGTGTCTTGAAAGACGCCTGTGCCTTGTTGGATAACACGGTATTAGCTCCAGAAACGATCGTTCCTCCTTTTGCAGTTTTTGGGGGTTCACCCGGTCGATTAGTCGCCGAGCTACCAGAATGTACACCGGAATTGATGGCAGAGTTAACCCGCTCGTATTATGAGCACTTTGTACCAAATCCAGCTACTGTTCAGACGAATGTCGGAGGTTCTAAACGAATTTCGACTGCGAGGAGATGAACTTGTTTTTTTCCACCTGTGAAACTTGTCATATCTTTTTTCTCTATTTTATCACTAAGATGTTGAAATGCTGCTTTCCATTAACACCATTTGTGGATAAAATGCTAATTTTGCCTGACTATTGCTCTTTTTAATACTTTAATTTCATCAGGGGCGGTGTATTGGATTTTGCAAAAGTAAGTATCTTAATTACCTTAAAATCAGAAAGGTCAGTTCAATTGAGCAATTTTACAGGCTCAAACTTGATTTCAGAATTAAAAAATCTATTGTTCCTCCCAGCAAATACTGGGTTTTCAAGGCCCATTTCTAAGCTGATAATTCCTTCTTACGTGTGAGCCATATTTGGTCATTGCGGAATTGGAAACAAGCACTGTTTATTCATTCTTAACTTAATTACATGCGGATGGCAAATAAAGGGTTCGGTAGAAAAGGCAAATTCGAATATCCCAAGATAGAGGACCTTTGGAAGCAGTTGACTGCACGTATTCTTCGAGCCCAAGTAGTGCTTAAGTAAAGTCCAAAAATATCATTGACGAATTCACTCAACTACGTTCCCTAATTATGCACTTCTCTCTTCATAGGTAAACAGACGATATTACTGTCTATCTTGAGCAATTCAAGAATGATAGACTGAAGAATGGCAATGTGAATACATATGGGCATTGTTAAGAAAAGAAACGCCAAGTGATTAAAGACGGCTGGGGCCACCATAGTTAATTTTCCTTCCTTTTACAGTAGCGTTGCTTACCAGGTAACATCTCGCAAGGACACCAACACTCATGCAAATTGGACTGTTCTGTTGAATAATCGGTAAAGCTTTAAGGCGGAATAAAATTGTTAACTCTGTCAGCATAGTGACTCCACCAATAGACATGAGTGAAAATGACCACCAATTGCTATAGCTAGTTTTGCAAATGACCACCAACAGCAGCTTCTGCCAAGGCAACACCTCAAGTACACATCTATGGACATGAATCAAAAGATGTCTGGAGTTTTGATCCAGAGAGTGAAAGTGACTATATGCAATCTTGTACAGACAACATAAAGGGCATTGCCTGGACTGATCCGCTTAAAACATTCGACATTCACTGAATATCTGCTAGTCCTTCCAATTGCCCCCTAGGGTTTGACTCTTAAACACCTCAAAAATTGACAACTCTTACCCGCCTGATCAACCGAATGCGATTTCATTACCACAACCAGAAATATTAGCTGTCTGGACAGGTGACAGAATCCAAACCAATTCATCCAATGAACATTTACGAGTCATCTCATCAATCAACTTTAATCGATAGAAAATATTGCTGATTACTTCAGTTGAACTGGCTGCTTACATAAACAGCCATATTTTGCAGTAAACAAGTGTTTCTCAACATTGTATCATTAGTAGCCAAATATGTGCCACACCACATGAAAATAAGAAAATAATCGCGTCTGGTTGAGTCGAATGCAGACACTACTCATTCTGTTACATCTAAATGAGGCTATTTCGAGTGTGAGTACTATTTGCTCATTTGCATTTCACGAGAGGCTCCACTACTCTCCTCAGCTTCCAACTGGCAATGCGTACCAGCCCTTCCACCTCGTGATGAAGTTAAGAGAACACTGAGGGATGGTAGTGACACATTGATTTAGATAGATATTTATGCAAACGGGGTGTGCGATAGACTTATCTCCACGTGGTGCACCCTGGGCAACCTATACTCATACGACAAAAAAGACTATAAACCGGCAGTTAACTTCAAACTACCATGACCCC